TCCCTCACCTGGCATCACACTGAGATAACGTGATACAGATAACATGAATTTCCCAGACAACTGACCTTCACCTCATCAAGCACTTTGTCAAGTTTTAGATGGACAAAAATAAGACTTGTACATGAAAAGGGTGGCCTTTCATGGTTGCAGACCATAGGCAGGGAGACCAATTTAGAGGCTGTAAAAATAGTTCATGGGGGAGATGATTACGAATAGACAATAAACAGAATCTTAACAATTAGAAGGGGGTCTGGCCGGCGGCGCAGTAATTAAGTTTGTGCGCTCTGCTTTGGTGGCCCGGGGTTTGCCAGTTTGGATCCTGGGCATGGACCTACGCACTGTTCATCAAGCCATACTGTGGCGACATCCCACATAGAACTAGAAGGACTTACAACTAGAACATGCAACTATGTACTGGGGCTTTGGGGAGAAAAAACAGAGGAAGATTGGCAACAGACGTTAGCTCAGGGCCAATCTTCCTCACCAAAAAGTATACCTTAAAAAAAAAAAAAGTGCTACCTGCTTATTCTAGGAATTGCTGCAATTAAAAAAAGGAGAGAGAGAATTAGAAGGGAACTCTAGTTTATCTGTTAGTGCATGTTGGTGTCATACAGACCCTGAGGGCTACTGAGAGGCATGGAGCTATTTGATCCCAGGCCCCTGGGCTGTTCAGTAAGGTTTTGTTAAATTTTTGGCTCTTCTTTTGCTGATGCTTGTACTTTCTATTGATATCAGTGTACTCCTTGCCCTAATAAGTTACGTGCTGAGAAGCCATATCCCCATATTTATTATAATTATGTCCAAATTAAGACAGAGCAAATAGACTCAGGATAAGTATCCTAGGAACTCTCTCGTGTGTAAAGTGCAAGAATTTTATAGCACAGATTTTACAACACCTACTCTAACTCTTAGAATACATTTTGGCTTACATTTTCTTGGCCGTATTCCCAAGAGCTGGATACACAACCTCGAGAAAAATGAGGTCTTACTGTATTTATAGGAGACTTTCTCCTATTATAGCGTTAAAACAATGTTCTACCTGTAATGTATACCTTGCTATATTTTTTTCCACAGGATAGTTTTAATACCCCACAATGTCCAATAGTCAGAACATATTTTATTAAAGAGAATGGCTGGTTTGACTTCTGAAAATATCCTTTCTCCCTGATTAAGACCAATGAGGTATAAACATGGTCAAGGTATCAGGAACACAAGTCTCAGGAATTACTGCCTTCTGGAACATTAAAAACCAAATTTATTATCCGTTGACTTTAATGTGTTTCCTGAGCTTTGTCACTCAAGAGGTTAAGCTCTGGAAAATACATATTTCTCTTTCAGGTTCATGGACATTCTTTCTATCAAAATGGCACGAGTTTCTCTGTGGCTTTCATGAAAGACAGATGAGGGAATTCCTACAAAACAAGGCCAAGCCAGTACAATGACAGTTCTGTTTGGGGGAGCAGGAGTGTTCGTGCCAATTTAAGGACTCGTTGACTGGGGAAGAAAAATATTCTGAGGCCTGTCCAACTTCACTACTAAAAACTTGAAAAAGTGGCATCTGAGTTTCAAGATGAATCTGTATATCAACAGCTATAGAAAAAGACCTTAAGATGAGAACTCCCAGCCACCCTTGGTTTTCTCACCTTGTCATCTTCCCACTCCATCTGCCTGCCAAATCCCCAACCCTGGAGAAAACACACCACCTCTCTTCTCCACCAGAGCTCCTAGACTGATGAAGTTTCTGACAAAGGATGAAGGCCAATTTGAACCGCTATGAATTTTTCGCTTCCCAAACGCCTTTGCTTAATTTTTACCCAACTGCCCCCATCACTTCTGTTCCGAAAAAGTTAATATTCCCTTTCGTCTCTAACCCTCCATCATTGCCCTTGACCTTCATTTCTCCCTCCAGCTTCAGAGTTGTGCTCTACCAATTTCCCTCTTTCTTTCCTGTTTTCAATGAGTCCTTCTCCATGGACCTTTCTCTCATCTTAACAGATCTTCATTGTGCCTTATCCTAAAAACAAACAAACAAAAATGGATCAAGGACAATACCATTCTCCTTCCAGTCTTACTTCCTGAAGCTACCATCATCTTCCTCCTTTCCCCCACCATACTAATCAAGTGTTTTTATTTTCCTGACACATTTATTAAAGGTGGAATCTGCTCTTACGGCGTCCACTTCTACACTTGCCATGTCCTTGTTAAGTCACTGCAATCTAGGTGTATGCACTCAGCATTTTAAAGGACCAATTATCTAAAGGATTATTAATCACTTCCTAGGTGTCAGATTTCTTTGGCCTATTTTCAGGCTTCAACCTATCTGATCACTCCACAATTAATATTCAGCACTGTGGGTGATCCCTCTACCTAGAAATTTCCTACTGTTTGTTCTCTGATGCTGAGCTTTCCTGGTTTTCCCCCTGATGTTCATCTTTTTCTCAGCTTCCTCTTGCCCTTTAAATGTATGTATTCCCAAAGACCTGTGTTTAGTTTAATTTATTCTACATAGGCTCTTTTATTCTATGGCTTCAAAGATGGATTTTTATACTGTCTTAATTTCCTTCCCCAATTCCTCAACCCATTCCTGGTCCCATCATTCCAGTGAATGACCCCCAAGTTGAGAGATTCAGTGGACTCCTTTAGTCGTTTTACTTGACTCCTCAGCAGATTTAGACATTGTTGACCATTCTGCTCCCTTCCTTCTGCTTCCCTGATACATCACTCCCTTGGTCCCTTTGATCTTTCTGGCATCTTTCCTGCTTCCTATGCGAGCCCTTCCTTTTCTACCTGAACATTAAATGTTAGAGTTCCTCAAGGCACTCTCTCCTCACTCAGTACTCACTTCAGCTCAATTACATGGATATATGGAAGACTCACAAATGTTTACCTCTAGCCTACACTTCTCTGAGCTCCAGACACACACATGCATGCATGTGTGTGCATGAACACACAGAACTTCCTATTTCGGTCTCCTCTTAGATGTCACAAAGGAATCTCAAACTTATTATGTTCAAGACAAACTTAGGATGTTTTCCTAAATCTAGCTGTCTTTCCGCACTCCGTGAACAATATTACCATTCATCTAGTTGTATGATGCAAACCAAGACGTCATGCTTGACATCTCCGTCTCTTTTACCTAATGTCCACCCATTACCAATATACAATCTATTTTATCTCTCAAATATCTCCTATATCTGTCTATCTCCATGACCACTATTTTAATCCAGATGAACAAGAATCCATCTAATGTACTAGTGAGTGTGTCTATGTGTTCTTGTGTGTGTGTGTGTGTGTGTGCAGATTTAATATGCATATCCCTATTTTGTAGAAATAGGTTTTGTAGAAATAGTTTTGAGAAAACTAATGCTAGGTGGGGTTAAAGAACTGCCCCAAAAGGGGGTGATTAGGCACATGTGTGGTGATGGATGGTAATTAGTCTTTCTGTGGTGAGCATGATGTAATCTACACGGAAATCAAAACATAATAATGTACACCTGAAATTTATATAATGTTATAAACCAGTGTTACCTAAAAAAAAAACTGCCCCAAGTGGCAGATGTGGTAATTTAAAACCAAGTCTGACTCCAAAGTTAGCAGCCATAGGAAAGGAAAATAAATTACAATGTTATGCTAATTATATGAACATAAAAGAAACAAGAGAATGGCCTTTTTATTTTTCTTAATGAGAGGATAACACTCTTTGTGACAGGAATTATGGAATCATATCATCCATGCCAGTGCAGGGAAGACAGTAAAATTTCAAAGACATCCTATTCTACCCATCCACCGACCCCCAACTCTATTTTGGAAGCTTTCCCATATATCCCTCACTTCGATTCACCTGTTGTTAACATTTTGCTTTCTCTCTTTCTCCTCTCTCCTCCTCTACCTCTCACTCTCCACACACACGTGCGTGCACGCGCACACACACACACACACTTTTTTTCCTTGGAATCATCTGAGAATTAACTGCAGATATCATGATATGATAATCCTAACATCTTTAGTATATTTAAAAAATATTTTAAAAAATAATGACAGCTGTCCAATGGTCTCAAGTCTACCTAGAAGATAACCATGAAACAAATAAGAAAAAAAACAAAAGGCTTCTGTACAGGGAGGAAAATTGATTATAAAGCCATTACTATCTATTGAATATTGTTATAACCATTTCTAATCCATTTGGATTGGGGGTTGGGCATAAATAAGGAATTTTTATTATTTACAAAATTAAGTTTACGGATTTAACAAGTTTGAACACTGATTTTCACATACGGGATGGGAACAAATGACTTCTGAGGATTTCAATCTTTAACTGTCCAGTACCACAACTGGTGTTTATAATAATGACCCTAATTTTACAAGAACACATTCTGCCTGGTAAAGTCTGTTTTTTATGGCAAGGAAGTTTATATTCCAGAAAAGTTTTTACCCACAAAAGTTTAAAAAATTTTAAAGTTCATTTATCCTCAGTGACTTCACTTTTGGACAAAGCTGGATAGATGAGGTCTTGCTGAATATTATCACATAAAAATTGGCACTGCCCATACAGGAGACAGGATGCATATTTCATGAATTTCCTTTGAAGGATTATAGATGATGATTCATATTTAAAAGCATAACATCAGTTCATATTCTGGTCTGTACTGCCAGCATAAAGCAGTAAAAATATGTCAGTCAAAATCTAAACAGACTACTTGAAATTTCTCAGAAAAACTGGAAGGAAAATGAAATCTATCCCTGGGGTATTATTTTAACATCCAGCTTCCATGATAGCCAGTGAATAGCTGTGCTTTTTTAATAGTTTAAATCATGATCATTAGGCTTATTACATCTAGGTCACTGCTGGGAAGACAAATGCGGCCAGACAACAATGAAAATCATACCCAGGTGTTAACATATCGACTGCTGGGAAGAAGCAATCAAACGCAGCAAAGCACAGGAGGGTCTGAGCCGTTTTCTAAAAGGAAAGTGACCCTGTGACTTCACTGTGACAATACCTGCTGTGGGGGAGTTTGCATGGTGAGACTTTTTTGGCAGGTTGAAGATCTGTTCGCCAGGGTCGGGAGGAGGAATTGCATCTTGCCCTTGTCGCGCTTCAACGGGATCATACTCCTTCCCATCGTAGTTAGCATCATAGAATTTCTTAAACCACTGAATAAAATCCAGGTTGTCCTGGAAACGCCCTTTCACCAGCTTCTCCACTGGAATTACCTGCAAAATAAAATCACCATGCGAGTCACAAACCTCAGGGATGTTTTATTTAATACAACTAAAATGCTGCCTAAATATAACTATTTCTCTCTCCCAGTTTCTTAGCCAGCTGTAGTCTAGAATGCATATAATTTTTCATCACATTAAAGAAAAATTAAATGAAAATGTTGCACTTGGTTCTCTCGGAATACTTAAGTCTTGCGAATAAACCAGACAAAACAAAGAATACCCTCAACTATCATACTGACCCTCCTTAAAGTATGTTTATTTCCAAAGTATTACCTCCAGAAAACATGGGCCTGGGATACTGTGCTGTTTCAAGATTGATGGATTTTCCTTTTTTCTTTGTAATACTTGGTCCAGTTGTGTTGGAACAAACTCTTATAAGGATTATAGCTACTAGAGAGTGTGAATGAGAAAGATTCAAATCAATGCAAACATATTCCAATCTAACGGTTCATATGAAACAAAATGAGCTTTTATGGGGCTTGTTTATAATATATAGAGACTAACATGAGAACAACTAACCACAATACAGGCCCGGTAATTCATGGGCTACACGGGAGCCCAGCTAATGTGCCCTGGGAGTGCAGAGGAAAAGGAGTGGAGTCTGATTAGCGGAGTCACAGAAGGCATTCTGTAGGAGGAGGTGCACAGCGCCCACATCAACTTCTGAGATGAGTCTCAGCTTTTTATGAGGTAATCTTTCCTACCGGCAACCCAAAGAGCCAATCAGTATTCCCTTTAGAGGTTTTACAGGAACCTTCAGAATTACGACAGAAAAAAACATGGTCTGATTGCTTAGCTTTAATTCAGTGGGCAGCCATTTTTGAAGGCAATGGAAAGGTACCTAGGTATCCAAACTGCACCATTACCAGATTCTCACTTCCTCATCTTTGGGTTGGAATACTAGTTGGATGTGAGCCATGAGAGTTACAAAGCTAGGGAGTGAGTCAGATCGTGTGTACGTGACAGTGTGTGAGCATGGGGCATCACTGTGTAATGACAGGAACGGATGCTGTATATATGAAATTTTCAGCAAGGCTCTGCCACCTTAGGAGCTATATACCATTGATATCTGAAAACAGATTCATCAGGACCACTTAAATGTGGAAAGACCTCAAATACCAATGACAACTTTGAAAGGAAAAGAAGCAACTGAAGCATTTTAGTCCATCCATTAAACTAAATCATTAGCAATAAATTTTTCAAAAATGTTTTTTATGCAGTTACAAATTGAAAATAAATCAAATAAAGAACAAAAGACAGAGAAGGAAATTTTTGGAGGAGACAGTGTTTTTCATGAAGACTCTTCCAGTAATGGAGACTTCTGGGTGCTGATATCTCACTCCTCCCAAACTTCAGTAAAGTCCGCCCACATGGAAAAATTCCTTCCACACGTGCACTCAATTAACTTCTCATTGTACTATTTAAATAGTTTCATATCTTGTGGTTTATAAGTTGTGTATGCTGATATTGTTTTAGAAACTGCCTTCCTAGTGCATAAGGCTCTTTAACACACTACTACACTTTGCTTTCTGCCAAATGTGAAAATTTATAAACAATTTTAGATGATGGTGCTACATTAGCTGCTCAAAGAAGGCGCTTACTTCTGTTGGCTTAATTTTGCATTCCCTAGCAAAATGAAAGTTCTGGGGGCCTAAGTTCAAAGTCTGAGATGACAACCAAAACCGTGCACAGAAGCCTTCTATATGCTGTTAGGCTAGGACAAACACGAACAGGACCACTGTCTTTATCCAAGGACTTTTGAGTAGAGACATAGCTTAATAAGCTAAGGAGGCCCACAAAGATCATCAAGGCCAATCTCCCTCCATTACAAGAATTTTATCTTCAACATTCTTAACGATGGCTCATCCACTCTCTGTGCGTACACTTCCAGAGATATGGAGGCCCCTAAATTGTTAAATGGCAAATTCCATCAATAAAGCGATGAATGGGTGCTTCTTTTCTTTTCAATCTAGAAGCATTTACAGAGAATTAAATGAAAAAGACACGTGATGATGCTAATAAGTAAGGAGAACCCATAGCAGTGGTTTTGAAGACATACCGAAGGAGCTAATTGGAAATTAACCACAGCAAAGGACAAAGAATTCAAAAGGTTAAATATTTTGAAATAAAAATTCAGAGAGGGACCAGCCTGGAGGTGCAGTGGTTAAGTTCGCACGTTCCGCTTCGGGGAGCCAGGGTTCGCGGGTTTGGATCCCGGGTGCGGACATGGCACCACTTGGCAAGCCATGGTAGGCGTCCCACATATAAAATAGAGGAAGATGGGCATGGATGTTAGCTCAGGGCCAGTCTTCCTCAGGAAGAAGAGGAGCATTGGCAGCAGATGTTAGCTCAGGGCTAATCTTCCTCAAAAAAAAAAATTTTATAAAAAAAAAAATTCTAAGAAGCAGCCAAGATTTTCTTAATATTTTGATTAAAATGCGTTGATTTAGGAAGATACTAATTGCATTAAATTTAAAAATATATACTGGTTAGCAAACTTTTCTCTTTTCCTTTAACTTCTCTCTTTTATAACCCACTATTTTATTTTTTATTTCCATAGACTATTTATTGCTACCATCTATGCAAAGACAAGTTTTCCAATTCTCCCCTGCTGGTTTTTCTCTTTTCCCTTATTCAAAATTCATTTCTTTCCAAGCCTCTTCCCTCTAAGAGATATATCCTAAATAAATAATAGAAATTGAGCATGTATTTGAATAGCAGGAAACATGCCCAAGACTGAGTGGACTCTCCCAACAGTCCTTCACCGGGAGGAAAAAGGACTCAGTCTAAATCCATTTATATCACTCTAGGACAAAATTATAAAATTGAAAGGGGAAAAAAGGACAATTTATGGACACTAAGAATCTGAGCGCATACACTATGCTGGACACTTCCACATGCATTCCCTCACTTTAACTTCCTAACCACAGGGAAGAGGGTTTTAGTCCCATTTTATAGGTAGGTAAATTCAGACTCAAAGAATTTAAATAACTTGTGCCAGTCACGGCACTGGGATTAAACCTGTGCTGCTTCCACTGTAACATGCTGTTTCTCCAAAGGAACAAAATACACAAAGAACCACAGTGGCATCTGGCAAATATAAAAATTTCTCCTCTGCAATGCTAAGACATGACAACAACATTTTAACATTTGTAATTCCTGTTAGAGTTTTCAGGCTAATAGCTACAAGTTTAGAAAAGTCTCATACAAACATGGGAAGTGAGGGTTGATGCTTTATGCCATGCAGACTACAACCTACTGTTGCGATATCAAGATACATCCCACTGAAACGTTTCTGGATTTTTGCATTTCTGTGCCAAAACAACAATAATTTTTAAGGAAAGACAAATGCATTTTATGGAGGTACAAGTTAGTCTCCTACCTTATCAACATTCATTCGCTTAAACGATGCTTGCAGAAGTTTAAAATTGTGAATATACTCATGCTCCAACTTTGCTTGAAATTTTACTTTCTTCAAACTAATGCAGCCTGGAAAGAGCATGTCCATGAACTGGCAATAGGCCGCTCCTGGAAAGAGACAAGAAAAGTATTGGTGTGAGTCTGACCGTCCCCAATTGTGACTGAGGATAGCTAGGAAGGAAGGCGCCATCTCTCAGAGCCCTCCTGGCTGGGTGTGCTCCTCTCCTCACTGCACTTACACCTCCTCGTCCACCTGTGCTGGGTGCCAGAGGGAAGGGTCCTGCCTCGATGCAGCTCCCACCACTTCCCCATTCCCGACCACTGTGGCACTGATGCTGCATTTACCGAGCAGCACCAGGTTCCGCAGACAATGAACAGGACTTTATACTTTAACGCCAAGAAAATCAGGGTGCGAATAATTCTTCTTAGCTTCTAGCAGAAAAAAAGGAACGTATTTTTTTCTTCCATCTAGCAGCTACCTGCTCCAAGCCATCAAAACATACAAATTTAAGAGAAAAACAGCAGAAAATTTAAACATGAGAAAACTACAAATGTTCTCATGAAATGAGAACTTTTAGCTCAAAAAAATACCCAGACGCCCCAGCTGTTTCATATCCATCTTGCAAAATGACTCAGGTGAAACTGCATAAGTAAGTCACCTAATAACAAAAACAGTTGTATACCAATTTAATTCCAGTCCAGAGCAATGGGGTTCCGATATTAACATGAAGGATGAAGACATGGAGACTCTGAAACTTACAGAAGTTCAGAGTCATGCTGTTTATGACTGAGAAATAAAATAACAGAAATGTTCAGTGAGTCCCCTGAAATTTCCCCAGAGGAAATGGTCATAAAAAAAGTCTTTGATTTTTTTTTTTATGAAGAACTCTTAGACCTTGACAATTTCAACCAGAAAATCCCAGCAAGCTCATGTTTACTGATTCATATCCTCTCAACAGTAAAGGCTAAAGGCACTTAGGAAAAAAAATGTCAAAACCAGAATGATTATTTTTCTTTTACGAGGAGGAAAAGCAATTGAGTGGCAAAAATGGGGAAAAGCAGCCATTTTTGTATTCCCTTTCCTTCTTTCATTCTCCAGATCTCTTGGTCTGTTTCTACAAAGTGCCAGTAATACCCCTTCATGACAGGCCCATGAAGGGCTCCCTCATTCTGTGGTACCAAGGTTTTTTTGAGCAGCCTTTCATTCCATTCAGGTGACTCACCTTTACATAGGAGGAACCCACTTGGTCTCTTACGTTAAACAGATGTCAAGCATCTTTTACTGAGATAGGAATCCAAGATAAGAGAGAACAAGATATCAGGGATGTAAGGGCTGCTAGAACAGGCAATGGTGGGACAACTCATTATTTATAGAGAAGAGCATGAAGTGATGAAATATAGGCCATAAGAAATACCACCTCCAGAGTCTGCATCTGTGATGCTTCCCCTTAGATGCTAATACTCTGATATGACCTATTACATTCCTAATCAAAGCAGATGAGTTCTCTCAAAAACAAGGTCAAATTCAAACAAAAAGCATTAGGGGTGTAAGAGAAACATCATGATCTTGGGGGGCATTCTTAGAGTCATCATCTAATTCTTCAGTTCTTCCCTGTGAAGTGCCACCAGAGGGAGCAAATTCCAATAGCCACTTCAACGTTATTTTTACAGAGATGGGGATGTCTAAATATAACTGCCTCATTACCTAATTTTTTTTTTTTTTTGGTGAGGAAGATTGGTCCTGACCTAACATCTGTTGCCAATCTTCCTCTCTTTTGCCTGAGGAAGACTGTCCCTGAGCTAACATCTGTGCAATCTTCCTCTATTTTCTATGTGGGATTCTGCCACAGCAAGGCTTGAAGAATGGTGTATAGGTCTGCACCCGGGATCTGAACCTGAGAATCCTGGGCTACTGAAGTGAAGTGCATGAACTTAACCACTATGTCAGCAGGCCAGCTCCATTACCTACTTTTTAAAGAGTTATTTTTACTTTTGTAGTGTTTAGTGTAAAATTTACCTATGGAAACCCAGATACAGTCATGAGCGATATAATGACGTTTCAGTCAACGACAGACTGCAAATACGACAGTAGTCTCATAAATTTAGTACTATATAGCCTAGGTGTGTAGTAGGCCATACCATCCAGGTTTGTGTAAGTGCACTCTACGATGTTCTCACAATGATGAAATCACCTAATGATGCATTTTTCAGAACGTATCGCCATTGTTAAATGACATATGACTGTATATATTCTTAAAAAGCAACCAACGAAATCCCTCACTTTTCAAATTTAAAAAGCTTTTGAAAAAAAAATCTTCAAAAATGAGGGAAGGATGGAAAGAAGGCAGGAAGGTTCATCTCTAGTCTCATGACACAGAAAAAAAACACTGTTCATGTTCTGGTATATACTATTCTAATTTTTTTTTTCAACAGACCATGATTCCCTTTCTGGGTCATTAAAATATTCTCTACTGACATTTTTCATTGGCTTTCTGATTTTTATATCATGCTTAGCAACTTCCCCAAACCAGGACTATATAAGTATTCATGTATATTTTCTTCAAGTACTTTTATGGTCTCAAGTTTTACATTTACATTCTGAATCCATGTGGAATTTATTTTGGTCTAGGATATAAAGGATGGTTCTAATTTCAGTTATTCCGAATGTTAGTGGCAATCTGTCAGTTTTGGCTCCCTAGCATTTGGACACCTTCCCATCTGAGTTGCTGCTACAGTGCCTGCCTCCCACCAGCATACTGAAGGTGGGCAACATCCCTTTCCCCACTCTCACCAGTAAAGATGCAGGCCCATGATCTAGGCTCTGCATTTGGATGCTCCTGCCTGGGTCGCTATCTAATTCCAGAATATTTTCATTACTCCAAAAGGAAACTCTACACCCATTAGCAGCCGCTCTATTCTCTCCTTCCTCCAGGCCCTGGTAACCAAGAGTCTATTTTCTGTCTTTATGGATTTGCCTATTCTGGACGTTTCATATAAATGGAATCATAAAATATGTACCCTTTGTGTCTGGTTTCTTTCACTTAGCACAATCTTTTCAAGGTTCATCCATGTTATGGCAATGTATAAGAACTTTATATTTCTTTTTATGGCTGATTAATATTCCATTGTATGAATATACCACATTTTATGGGTCCACTCATCAGCTGACGAACGTTTGGGTTGTTCTCACTTTCAGGCTATTATGAGGAATGCTGCTATGAACATTCATGTACAAGATTTTTTGTGGACATAAGTTATCAATTATCCTGGAATATTATTTAGGAGTGGTATATGGTACCTCTATGGTTAACATTTTGGGGATCTGCCAAACTGTTTTCCAAAGCAGGTGTATTATTTCACATTCCCATCAATAATGTATGAGGGCTCCAATTCTTTCACATATTCAACAATACTGTCTATGTTTTTTACTCTAATCGTCCTAGGGGGTATCAAGTGGTATCTCATTGTGGTTTTGATTTGATTTTCCTAAAGACTGACGATGTTGAATATCTTTTTCACATGCTTTTTGGCCATTTGTACATCTTCTTTGGAGAAATGTTTATGAAAATCCTTTGCCCATTTTTAAATTGGGTTCTCTTTTTACTGGTGAGTTGTAAGAGTTCTTTCTACACTCTAGATACAAGTTTCCTATCAGATATCTGATTTGCAAATATTTTCTCCTGTTCTACGGACTATCTTTTTTACTTTCTCGATGGTATCCTTTGTTGAAGCACAAAAGTTTTAAATTTTGAAGTACAATTTATTTTTTCTTTTGTTACTTGTGCTTTTGTCATATGCCTAATCCAAGGTTACAATGATTTACACCTACATTTTCTTCTAAAAGCTGTATAGTTTTAATTCTTATATTTAAGTCAACGATCCATTTTGAATTAATTCTTGTATATGGTGTGAAGTTTGGGTTGAACATCATTATTTTGCAAGTGGCTATTCGACGGTCCCAGCAGCATTTTCTGAAAAGACTGTTTCTTCCCCCACTTAATCGTCTTGACATTCTTGTTGAAAAGTCAATTATTGGGGCCACCCCAGTGGCAAAGTGGTTAAGTTCGTGCGCTACACTTTTGTGGCTCGGGGTTCACAGGTTTGGATCCCGGACGCGGACCTACATACCACTCATCAAGCCATGCTGTGGCAGGATCCCACATAAAATACAGGAAGATTGGCAACCCATGTTAGCTCAGGGCCAATCTTCCTCACAAAAAATAAACAAACAGAAAAAATCAATTAGTATAAATGCACGGGTTTATTTCTGGACTCTCAATTCTATTACATCTATGTCTATCCTTACGCAATAACACAGTCTTGATTATCATAGCTTTGTAGTCAGTTTTGAAATCACAATCCTTTAACTTTGTTCTTCCTTTTCAAGACTGCTTCAGCTACTCCGGGTCCCCTGCATTTCCATATTATTTTTAGGATAAGTTCGTCAATTTCTGTAAAAAGGCTGCTGGGATTCTGACAGGGATTGAATTGAGTCCAGAGATTAATTTGGGGAGTGTTGCCATCTTAACAATATATTAAGTCTTCTAATCGATGAACATGGGATGTCTTTCCACTTAATTTCTTTCAATGATGTTTTAAAGTTTACAGTATTTAAGTCTCACACTTCTTTTGTTGAATTTATTACTATTTTATTCTCTAATGCTATTCTAAGTGGAACTGTATTCTTAATTTTATTTTCAGATTGTTCATTGTGAATGTATAGAAATATAATTCATTTTTGAGTATTGATCTTGTATCCTGCAATCCTGCTTAACTCATTTATTAGTTATAATAGCTTTGGTTTCTTAGGATTTTCCACATATAAGATCATGACATCTGCAAATAGAGATAGTTTAACTTCTTCCTTTCCAAAGTGAACGCCTATTTCTTTTCTTTTTTTTTTTGAGGACTTTAAGCCCAGAGCTAACTACTACCAATCCCTTTCTTTTTGCCCAGGAAGACTGGTCCTGAGCTAACATCCATGCCCATCTGCCTCTACTTTATACATGGGATGCCTACCACAGCATGGCTTTTGCCAAGTGGTGCCATGTCTGCACCCGGGATCCGAACTGGCGAACCCTGGGCTGGCGAACCCTGGGCTGCCGAGAAGTGGAATGTACAAACTTAACCGCTGTGCCACCAGGCCAGCCCCGCTTATTTCTTTTTCTTGCCCAGTTGACCCTAGTTATAACCTCTACCACAATATTGAAAACAAGTGATAAGAGTGAACATTCTTGTCTTGTTCCCAGTCTTAGGGCAAAAGCATCTAGTTTTTCACTACTAAGTATGATGTCAGCTGTGGGTTTTCCATAGACCGCATCATCAGACTGAGGAAGTTCCCTGTTTTTTATCATGAAACGATGTTGAATTTTATCAAATACTTTTCCTGCATCTACTGAGACTATCAAGTGGCTTTTGTCTTTTATTCTATTAATATGGTGTATTACATTGGTTGCTTTAATCTCATTTGATCACGGTGTATAATCCTTTGTATATGTTGCTGGATTCATTCTGCCAGTATTTCGTTGAGGAATGTTGTGTCCATATTCGCAAGAGATATTGGTCTGTAGTTCTCTTGCGATAGCTTTGTTTGGTTTGGGGAGCAGGGTAATACTGGCCTCACAGAATAAGATGGAAAGTGTTCCCTCTTCTTTTATTTTTTGGAAGAGTTTGTGAAGGATTTCTGCTAATTTTTCTTTAAACACTTGGTAGAATTCACCAAAGTCATCTGGGCTTGGGTTTTTCTTTGTGGGAATTTTTTTACATTATTAATTCAATCTCTTGTGATATAGGTCTATTCAGAATTTCTATTTTTTCTTAAGTTTCAGTAGTTTATGCCTCTCTACGTGCTTATCCATTTCATCTAGATTATGAAAAATTATTGATTTTTAAACATTTATTTTATAATTCATAAGTTCTAATAAATTTTCAGTTGATTCTCTTTGGTTTCCTAGCGAGAAATAACGCGTGATACACTTGTTGCGCTATATGTGCGTGCACACACACACACACACATATATATACATACGCATGCACACACACACTTTTTTTCCTTTAATCAGAATATCTCATGTTCTTCCTCTACGTCTGTTATTGGCCGCTGACCTCTAATACTAAGGAAATACTCCTCTAAGTGTTACCAAAAGTTGCTATCAGGAAGGGATACTGAGTTTTATCAACTACCTTTTCAGCAACCATGGAGAAAATATGTTTTTCTCCTTTGATTTATTAATATGATCAATTAATCATATTCAGTGATTTACTAATGCTGAATCACCTTAGCATTCCTGGATTAAGTCCTACTTGGTGATGTTTACTATGTTTTCATTACGGTGGTGGTTTAGATTCCCAAATACTTTATGATTTTTGCACCTGTACTTGTGAGATTTCCTGCAACTTTTTTGTGTGCTTTTGTCCTATTTCTTATCACGGTTATTTGAAGTTTAAAAAATAAATTGGGAAACTTTTCTTATTTTTTGAGGGTCTAAAACTTGAGCACTAAGGTATTAAAAAAAAAAAAAGATTTGGTTAGAATCCTAACTGCACAATTTACTACCTGTACACTCTGGGCTTTTCACCCCTTCCCTATGCATTTCAGAACCATATGAGCATCAAACAAGTTGAACAATTTTTTCAGTAAGCAACGTAGAAAGGGTAGATCACATTAGCGTTTCTAGTAAATGGTATATTATATGATCATCTAGGTATATCTTATGTCATATTTTCTAGAGTCAAGGAGCCTCTGAGAATTTTTAAGAAACATCTATCGACTTTGGGAATTATGCTGAAGATTTGTTGCTATTGCCTTTGGGTATGCCCATTTGGGCATTTTCAACTTCTGATTCCCCAAATCTCTAGTGCCCAAGATACATGAAAAGGATGCCTTGAAATGAATTGTTGCTACTAAGATCATCACGGAGAGTTCTTGTTGGGGCAGGAAACTACACCAAAGTATAACCTGAAAAAGGCTGCTGCATTCTGATTCCTATCAAAGGCCGACCCTGCACTTGTAGTCTGGATCACATCCCCTCTCACCTCCCCAGTGATGTCACTCCTGCAAATGTCCTCACTCTCTCTTGCAATGCCGATTTCTCTCTGAATGGATTATTCTTACAGCATGCAAATATGCGCTAGTACTACTTGACTTTGACAAAATAAAATTTAAAAAACCTTCCTTGATTCCACATCATTCCTTTAGTTACTGTACCATTTATCTTCTCCTTGTCATAGCAAAACTTGACAAAATTATCCCTGTTTCCATTTTCATCTACCATTCAAACCAATTCAACTGTCCTCCAATCTTACCATGTTCTGGTCAAGATCAACAACAGCTTCTCTGTTACCAAATCTAAGTCATTTTTCTTTCTGCATCCAACTCAAACTCTGAGTAAGTATTTGGCCCTGCTGCCCACTCCCTCTTTCTTGAAATTCTATAATTTCTTCCTTAATTGGACAAAATGGGCACCAACTAACTAAAAAATTCAGGAATCAGTACTATTGTCCTGGAAGTCTCAGCCAGTCACAAATCAGAATGTTTCTCATGGACAGGTGTACAGATTTTTGGATCATTTCATTAACCTTACAATAATGTGGCCTACATTTTACACAGATCATACTTTTATCAAATTATGCCAAGGTTACTATTATTCACATCATGTACCACCCGTTGCTAAGGATACTAGAGTGGTTTTCTATGAAACCACTACAAAATTCAAACTCTTTCCCTGACCTACAATGACCTGTGACCAGGCCTCTGCCCACCTCCCCCTTGCCTAATGTCCCTTCAGGAGGCTCCTTTCACACTGGCTTCATTGCTTCCAGGACACCTCAGGTCTGTTCCTGTCTTACCACCTTTATACAGGCTGTTTCCTCTGGAACTCCATATTCTTTCTGCCATTCAGATCAAGGCTTAGATGTCACCTCCTCAGCGAGGCCCTCCTTACCAGGCCATCTGAAGTGACCCTCCAGTCACTCTTAATCACCTAATCCTGTTTTATGTCTGGTATTTTGTTGTTAACTCACATGTTGGTTTGTGGTTTACCCTCCCTCACTGGAATGTAGGTTTCAAGTGAGCTTGTACCTTATCTGTCTTAGTCTCCTCTGTATCCAAGCCTTTAATACAGTAACTGGCATAGTGTGGGCTTCAATAAATATCTGGTTAATGAGTCTACAGGTTGTAAGATTTGAACCCCAACAAAAGCTGGTAAACAGTAAAATTCTAATGTTACCAAAGTCCCAAATAAGAGATATTACAGGAAGAGTTGCTATATATATTTTTAAGAATTGATGGGGTATAAATAAATTTTAAGAACACCAAAAAAACCACCTAAACTAAGAACCACTCTGGAGACCGAGTCTGCAGAAAAGTGAAAGATATGCTTCAAAAAGCTAAATATAAGAGAACACACTTAGGTAAAAGCAACCAAATCATATGATGATATGCTCACCAAGAGATTAATTTTGATGAGCTATGCCTTGAGCCCATCAGCCCAGGGTGCTACTACAGTGATGAAGGTCAACAAGATTCCAGAAATGATCAGGAAATAAGTAGAAAAAAGGAGAAAATTCTGTCTTTGTACAGTGCCATGTTATGCCTGCACCTACAGCCCTAAGAATAGTTTTAGTTGTTATACATCAGAAGTAACATAATAGAGCTGAAACGTTTGGGGACAGGAATCTAAAATGGACAGGAGGGGAACTGTATAAAGGCAGAACTCAAAAATCAGTCCCAGACTCAAAGGTTTCAGGGGATATGTGATTTAAGTCTATGAAATCATGAAAAGCACGATAAGACAATCTCATTTTTACCAGATCCCAAGACTTCAACAGTAAAATAATATCAGGATACGTGGACATTTTTAAAAGGAAATTTTCAGATAACAGAAAGGAAATAATACATTTATAGACTATAGTATGCCAAGAAATATAAGAAATAAAAATACCCGCGTTTGGATAAAATCTATTACAGACTTCAAATCTATTTTTAACATTCTGACCTCACAGAGGTAAGTATTTTTATCATCATCACTCTATTTTATAGATCAGGGAAAAAGGCTCAGAAAGTCATCCAGCTAATAAGGAACAGAAGTGGAATTTAAACTCTGACCTCAACTTCAGTTTTTTAAAATTTGTCCTCTTCTCTAGGCTGCTTCTAGGAAATTACAAATGAAAATTCAAAGAAAATTTTCTAAACTTTCTTTGAACCTAAGTTATTAATTCTACAAGGAGTCACAAAGGAAACCGCAAGAGAACATATGAACCTTTCAGATTGATGTTAGGAGTGTCCCTTACATCATTCCTATTCATGGACTCCAGGGCTGGGCACATAGATAATTAATCTGCCCCAATGTCATGATTTCATATTTTAGTATATATACTCGTAAGAATTTCATCTTACATATATATGTAATATACATATATAAAATACAAGCATTTCATATCTCTCCCTCTTACTTCCTCCCTCTCTATATCTATCTATCTATCTATCTAATTGCTGTCAAAATCTCACAGCACTTTTCCAGAAATGTGACAATCTGTGGAGAAGACATCAAGCTATACTGGGTTCTGCCATGAACAGCTCCTTGAATTGCTCATCTGATTTTTCTCATGGGCCAGGGAACTATTATACAGAAATGCCTTTATCATTGCCGGATTTAGTTACAACTTTCCATAATCTTATTTGGTATCAAGAAAGGGTCAGAAGAAAAGAACGACGACCTTAATTTACTGGACATACCTATGCAATTATACCTTTCGTTACAGGTAAATAATTCGTAAAAAAGCTTATTCTCTCAAGCTAGTACCAAAGAGGACCAGGGAGGGGGTGGGGAAGGACAGAGAACTGGACTGTTGGTCCTTGGATCTAAACTTTGATCATCGTAAATGGACTGTGACATGTCATCACACCCTCCTCAGCCAAGAGTATTCCTATCTGCAAAACAGTCAGCTTTGGAGAGATCTCTAAGCTCTAAAATTAGATGATTCTCTCATTCTCAGTCTGTCACCAACTTCTCTTTTAAGGGATACTTGATATTTCTGCTAATTAGAAGATAATAATGCTTCACCTTCCCATGACTAAGACTTTGGCCAGTGCTCTTGCTTCTAGCCATCAGCATCTTTTGTTGCAGTTTCCAGAAGACGCTAGTACACTGCTGCATCTGGAGGGGGCCCTCCCAGGAGCACCCACTCATGCCCCTTCCAGATTTCAGTTCTGCAATCCTATCTTCCACGTACTCATCTTGGAGCTCGTGACATTTATACTCAGCAACACAACTATATTTTCCATCATCTTCAGTAGTTGGATATTAAATGTCTTTCATATTAGAATAGTATTTGTACACAATAATCACAAACTCATTCCAGCTCTATTTTTGCATTCGGCCCTGTCATTCCTTGAACTGATATTACTGCAGAACCACATCTGTAACCAAAGCCCAAACCTCATGTCGGAGGCAGTATTCCCCTTTGGGAAATCGAGGCTTCCTAACAAGGAAAGTGAGGCTGCAAAATACAGGGTTACATATTTCCAGTGCCTCAGCAGAAATCTCTCTACCTACACAAACACAAGGTTTGAAGAGCCTCACAGCAATTGTAAAATAATGATTTGAAAGATTAACATTTTAAAGGAATTTAAAATCCCCAAGTTCAACTGCATTTTTCCAATCCAACAAAAATATGATGAAATTAGTAGCAGCTCTATGTTTTTTGAGGCATCTTTCACATTCCTGGCACGAACGGCAGCCTGACAGCTTCAGTTACCACAGTGTTATTTAACTCTGTTGAAGTGAACTTAGGACACCGTCTGCTTCACCTGCCCCAAGTCACAAACGCAAAAACAAAGGTCTGGAGTTCAGAAATCTGGTTGCTACGGAGCTGGTTCCCTGGAATTCCCACGGTCCTCAACTGAACTTCCTGCTTCTTCCCACTGCTTAGAGTTATGTCAGAAACTTTTTATTCATATTTTAAGTAAGTCCCAAAGACAAGTAGCTTTCAAACTGATTCCATGAAGAGGAAAAGGAGTAATAAGCAGCAGGAAGATTTCAACTCCCGCAGACATACACAGAGAAAGCTTATGTGAATTGTGCAGAGTGCTGAAAAGCACCCCATCCTTTCCCTTCTCTACATACAGAGTAAGCTGTCAAAGGACATTTTCATCTCCTGTCTTTCACAGAAAAAGAAACAAGCCAGCAATCACTATTCAGGCCGATGGATTTTTAAGAATATAGGCAGATATATTAAAAGGTCTTGTCAAACCCTGTGGTTGGACTTTCATCTGATATTTGCCATTAGGTTTTCACTAATTGACATGATAAAAACCTTTTTAACAATCTTATAATGCTGCAGCAAATTGCATTTGAACATTCTCTGTTCACAATCTGCCTTCAAGAACCAAGAATACTTTTTAAAAAGTAATGTTACCTTTAAATCAGATTTTTAAGAAACTTGCAGAACAATGTTTAAAGTGAGATCTGCTGTAGAGAATCAGATATTAAGATCAACACACTGAGTTGATTTAAAAGTGCTTCTTCATCAAAAATCATGGAAGAATGAAGAATATTTTCCATTACGTTTCAAAAGGAAATTTCAATTTAGTAAAAATCTACATGCCAAATAGTCCTTGATTAAGATTTAGATAATCAATATTTTTATTAAAAAGCAAATTTCAGAGAAATAATTAGAGATATACAATACTCAGTAGACAGCTGATATTTTAAGAGTGCTATTCATGAAAATAATTTTTGTAGACATTAACTATAACTCGAGTTGGAAACTAGAAGGTAAAGAACACTGAAGCATAACTAGACTATTCACAGTAGTTTTATTCAACTAACCCATAATTACCCTGTAACTTCTCATCTTGCCTTTTAATGCTTCAGGGAAAAAAACAAAACTTCAAATCTGCCTAGTGATACAGAAAAAGAGTCAGCCCATTGAAAGACTAAAGAGACAGCAGGTAAGGAAATTGTCTTGTTGGTTTGAGAGTCTTTTCATCTGCTAATTGACAATCCAGGGCCAGGGCTCGGTTTCACTTCTAGTTTCTAACACCAGCGACTTCCTTTAGGGTACTGAGCTCGTCAAATTTTACCAAAACAAGCTGTCTGACATACCCAGCTTCCTACAATATGCTTTGGCTTCTACATGGGAACGAAGAATGAAGGAAGTGGGAGAGGCACTTGGAGCCCAGGCGGGAATGGTGTGCAGGACAAAATGTCACTGGCTTCCAGGGAGCCTGATACTGAAACTGGCAGCGAGATGTCCCAAAAGGCTGGAGTCCGGGAATAGAGCTAGAGTTAGAATTTGGTGTTCCAGATAGGGGAGAAAAGGAGGCATAAAAAGCCTTTATTACAAACGGAAAACAGAAAGGTACACATGAAAGCCGTTTTGAAAGGGTCAGTTTTCTTATTAAAAGTCATTAAAACACAAAGTTCTGGAAAGCTGTAAGATTAGAGGACACAGTTTCTCTCCATGTGTACACATATTTTCACACATTTGTTTGTACCACCTCCTCTACTTTCATGGACAAAAAGCTTTTTAAAACAAGGACTGAAATTACATGATTGACTAGGTAAAAAAGGAAGATTTAAATTAAGAAAAGCTTGAGTAGGAAACAAGAATCTGAAAAGATAGATTTCCTATCTAGTTTTGTGTTTATAGGTCACCACTAAAGAAATGCATTTCTGTAGGTGGCACAGAGGAATGTCACTTTGTTTATCAATGAAAAACCAACAAATCAACAATACTTACTGAGGAATATGATTTTACTCTTAAAGAACCAAGTAACTTAGTTTTGAGAGACCAGAGAAACACACATGGAAAAAAAAATCAACAAAAGTACAAAACAACTATCAGTGCTAAACTATACAGCAGAGACACATAAATACTGAAGGAGTTGGTTCCAAAATTGTGCCCAATAAAAACCCAAGAATGAGTAATCAATATTACTAAACAGATAAAGTCAAGTCAAACTTGCATGGTCATTTCCAGTCCTCAAGGAGCTTAACGTCTAACCTTGAGGTTACAGGTACTCAAGAACCCTAAACCTCTGAAGAGCTCTGAAAAACGAAGAGAGGAACAGCTCACATCTTGTTGGAGGTGACCAGGAAGAACAGGAGGAAGGTGGCATTGCAGATAGCTCTCAAAGGAGGCATTCCAAGCAAAGGTAGGGCATTAGTATATACAGTGAAAGATGAGTTTGGGCAAATGTAAGCTATGGGTAGGAGAGTCATGGCGGTAGATGCTGGAAAGTCGGGTTGCAGCCAGACTGCTCAAGGCTTTAAAAGCCAGGAAAAGTAGCAGCTTAATTTAATGTGGTAAGTAATGGGGGACCAATGCTGATTTCTGGGCACAAGTGTCTTTAGAGAAGAGTGCCTAAACTATGACATTTTTGAGCTCTAATTTTAAGAACATACCTATTTAAGAACATATCTATGCACAACCAGAAGGATCTACAACTATGATATACATCTACGTACTGGGGGGCTTTGGGGAGAAAAAGAAGAGGGGCCGGCCCAGTGGTGCAGCAGTTAAGTGCACATGTTCCGCTTCAGCAGCCCGGGGTTCGCTGGTTCGGATCCCGGGTGCGGACATGGCACCGCTTGGCAAGCCATGCTGTGGCAGGCGCCCTACATATAAAAAAGTAGAGGAAGATGGGCATGCATATTAGCTCAGGGCCAATCTTCCTCAGCAAAAAGTGGAGGATTGGCAGCAGTTAGCTCAGGGCTAAGCTTCCTCAAAAAAAAAAAAAAGAAGAAAAGAACATATCTATTTTAAGGGCAAACGAGATTCAGGGTAAGAAACCTAAAGCTTACACACTTTTCCCAGTTTCTCAGGGAATTTCTACTGAATCATTGCCCATGTTGTTCCACCAACAGTTCTAAGTGCCAGGCTACTATGCGAACTCCAGGTATCACAGCTGATGGAGAGGCTGTTAGTACAGTGTAAGATGCAGTGGTATGAACTGACCAGAACAAACCGCAGTCCATTTCTACACAATGGACCTGTCTCTCAGGTTCTTTTTGTGGCTGAGATCACTGTCCCTGGGACTGGGAGCTCCAAGCTTCTATCTACATCTAAGCCATTTCACCTGCTCTCCAAGGCTTGCAGGTAAGAGCTCCTTACTTATCGATACCTACCCCCAATCCAGCCCACCAGCTCTCACCAATGCCAATAACATCCTCCACCTTCCAGAGGCGAGCACTCCCTTCCCCACAGCTCCCTGAAAAGAGGCCCAGTGGCCAGAGAAAGCCCAGAAGGCGAGGAGTGGTACCAAAGGAAGCCCCCAGCAATTACAGAGGAACCAGCACATAACATTTACGCAGATTGTGATACATAAGAAAATATTTCTCTATAATGAATTTCTTTCTTTACAGTTCACAGGTTAATTCCAGAACACGATGCTTTTCTAGGCACAATTGTAGTATGAGGAGGAACCCAAAGTAGTATGAGGAATGTACAGATATTTACTTCAGGGATTCAATCATATGAGTACAGGAAAAATAAAAGATGAATGGAATTTAATCTTAATTTAAAAAAAAGCAGGAAAGGAGGTTTTTTTTTTTTAAACAGTGGATTTAAACACAATTATGTCTAATTTTAAAGCTGACACACACGTTTTCAGTAAAATTCGGCTCCTTCTTCAGTTTTCTCAAGCCCTTCCCTGAATTGTCATACAAATGTAATCTAGAAGAAATAATAGAGAAGAATGATCCTCCTTATGGAGAATCTTAAGAGAAACTGCAGGAAATCACACTGGCCTGAGTTTCACATTTACATGTTTCTTATTGTTGGAAAATGTGGTCATAAAAGCTTAGGAGTGTTAACGCTTGGGTAAGAACAAACCCTTGGAAGGGAGGGAATACTACAGAGAAGTAACTTGCACTCTGCCAGAATTACGTAATGGTTGCAGGGTGGAAAAATCCCAATCTGCAGAGTGATGGTTATTTTAAGAGTTGCCAAGTAATTCAATTATTCTGTTTTCAGGTATATAATTCTAACATGCCCAAACATTTGACAGTGACTTCGGACACTCCTTTTTTACAGTATCTATAGGACTGGTGAACTGTAAATTTAAAAACACCATTCAGAAAAAAAGCAGGTTAGAAAAAATATTTTCCTTTGCAGAACAGCAGAACTTGAAGATGCTTGGCTCGATCATCTCAGTGATGCGGAACCTGCAGGGCTGCTAATATACCCATGCACAGACTGCTCACTGGTGTCAGAAACTGTCTGATGGTGGCACAGGCTAGACACCTGCTTCTGTCCACGGACCTCATTCCACCTTTGCTTTGTGCTCAGATAAGCTGAGAAAAATGAACTTCAATGCTCTGCACACAAACATCTCAAGGAGAACTTTGGTAGTAAAAGAATGGGTCCTAACTGGGTTTGATCTGTACTGTTTTGTATGTGGCTGTATCCTCAGATGCTGGCCTGTCATCTGACACACTGGAGGCACTCAGTAAATATCTCCTGACTTCAGGAATAGGCAAAGCAACACATTAGAAGATCAAAATGATACCTAAATGGCACTTTTACTCAAAATCTCCATCTTCCTCTTCTCGGCCTGAATTCTATCCATATTAAAAACTTAGTTTGAATACGAATTCAATTAAATTTCGCTTCATAAGTACTTATTGACCATTCACTAAATGTGCATGGCTGTTGGTCCAAAGATCCAAACAAGGCTAAGACAAGAAGCTTTTCTAGAATGAAATCATCTTTCCTTTCTTTGAAAACTACATTTATCACCTGAAATTTATCCAGGTAATTATTACCTGCATTTATTACCTTTGACATTATTGTCCCTGTTCTGCTGCCCTGAATCCTAATATATATTTCAGAGTCTTATGCAAGCATGTACATGCATAAAACACTGTATCTTCTTTCTGCCTTGATGGAACCTTTTCTGCCTAAAATGTCCTTTTGCCATCTTTCCCACTTGAATAGAAATTTCTCATTCTTTAAAAGTTTAGCCCAAACATCACCTCCTCTATGAAGTGTTTCTGTTCCCAGTGCAGAATTAACTGTTTCACTACAATGCCTATGGAAGCGCAAGAGAAGTTTGAGTTTCATTTTAATTAGCTCTCTCTCTTAGTTGATGGTGAGTAACTCTTCAAGACTGGGGATGGTGTCCAATTTATCTTTCCACTGTGCTAGCACTGTGTCTACCATGACTATAAGCCACCGGCAGCTTGAGAATTTCTATATGGAAAAGGTTTAGGAGCTGCAACCTGACTGGAGTTGGGAAACAGATAATGATAATAAGGAGAGAGAACTGGATGGGAAATTGGTGGCTATTCTTTTTTTGTTTGCTTTTTTTGCTGAGGAAGATTCACCCTGAGCTAACATCCGTGCCAATCTTCCTTTATTTTGTGTGTGGGTCACTGCCACAGCATGGCTGCTGACAAGTGTTATAGGTCCGTGCCCAGGAACCAAACCCAGGTTGCTGACGCAGAGCGTGCTGAACTTAACCACTAGGCCATGGGGCCAGCCCAAGGTGACTACTCTTAAATGTTGCATTATCAAGTTCCTTTGTGTAAGACTAAGAAAACAACTTTTCATATTAAAGAAGGAGTTGGAGACGTACTGACAGAGGCTCTCAGCATAGCTACAGCAATGCAGGTTTTCCAAACTGAATTAAATACAGGAGAACAGTAATACCTTGATGCATAAATCCTTTTGGGTACAAAATTATTCTACAAAATGTTCTTTTGGGCCAGCCCTGGTTGCCTAGTGGTCAAGTTCGGCCCACTCTGCTTGGCAGCCTGGGTTCCGTTCCCAGGCACAGACCTACCCCACTCATCTGTCAGTAGCCACATTATGGTGGCAGCTCACATACAAAAAGAGGAAGATTGGCAGTGGATGTCAGCTTAGGGCAAAGCTTCCTCAGCAAAAAAATTAAAAATAAATAAATTAATCAATAAAAAGTTAAAAAAATACATTATTCTTTTTTCTCAATGGCATAGAAAGGAGGATATGAAGATGTGAAGTCCTCTCAGGTATAAGCTTGTTAAAGCAAGCCTGGGTTCAACGTGAAGAAAGGGCCGTAGTCTTGGGATTCAAATGGTGAATCGTGCACAGATGTGCATGTGTGTATCTCTAAGGAGGCATGATCCTGGTTGTTTCACTGGCCAGGAATTACTCAGAGAGTTGACTAGTTCTTCCAAAACAGGTGGTGAAATCTCACAGCCACCCCATCTTGCTTGGAGGGAAAGAGTTTAGAGCAGGAGAGGGAACAAGGAGACCAGGCAGAGAGAAGGGGAGGCTCTCTTCCTACCCCATTCTTGCTAGGTAGAGCAAGAAGGAATTTTATAGGACCTGGAGCAAACGCCTGTGTGTTTCTATTAGTGTCTCTCCACCTTTGGTAAGCAAAGTTCTTGATGCTGCTGCTACCATTGTCATTAGTAGAAGAATTACCACCTACATCTCATTTCTTCAACTAGAATATAATCTAAAGGGTGGAGATATGGACTTCTTTTCTAACTCCTCTGTTCCTAGAAGAGATGTTCAATGTGCTCCTGATAAATGGATATGAAAAAAATCAGGAACACGCACACACACAGTGAACCCTCCACCACATCCCCAGCTGCCAAACAGACACAGCAAAGAGAGCACAAGGCTGTGATCCAGGGAGACCCCAGGTCTAGTGTCAGCTGTGAATGCTTGGCTTCTCTAAGCTTCTATGCTCTCACACAAAACGAGGAATAAAAAGTTCCTATTCTTCTTCTGCACAAGGTTGTTATAAGAATTAAAATAAATAATATAAAAGCACGATGAAAATGTTAAAGAGAGATATATAAAAGTTGAGGCATTATGACATCCTTAAGCCCCTAAGTATAAAACTATGTATTATTGTGCCTGGTTAAAATAATCAGAGCTATAAAAATGAATAGGATTGAACTGGATTGTTTCAGATATGAAATGTGAATCTCCAAAATACATGTTTTAGATTCAAAGGGCAAAGAACCAAAGAACAAAATGAGGCCCTTGGCCTCCCACTAGCAAAGAAAGGGTATGAATACATTCCTAAGAGCCTCCAGTTTATCTGTTGAAAAGCATTTCAGGGTTTCTTCAGTCCTTAAATCTTTCCTCAGATAAACATATCAGGTGCTTAAATAATCAGAAACTCATTTATAAAAGGAAATTACTTTCTCCCCAATTTTATACTCTTTCGGTTAGTCTTTAGATGATTTAAACTGAAAAGGCAAAAAGGGAAAGAAAAAACAGCAATATGAATAGAAAACAATGTTTTATAGGGAACATACATATCCATCAAGTAAAGTAACTGACGTCTTTAGAAAAATCAAAATAACTTATGTGGGAAGATACATTTTTTTCTTAAGATAAGTTGTTTTTATAGAACTTGGTGAATGACTTCAAAATAAATATATCATGTTTTAAAAGTAAGCATCTTATCATGAAACAGAAACAAAATCAGAGGAGAAAGGGTTCTAAAGGTTTCAGAAATTAGAATTATGAATCATAAATGAGCCTTAAAACCCACCATGTCCTTGGGCTCCAGCTCTACGTTTCTCATACTCTTCACCAAGATTCCTGGGGGCGTGGAATCAGGGCTCCAGGTAGGAAAGCTGCTAGAGTCGATGCCTCACTCACTGATGTAAACCTATACTCTCATCAGTATCACCCCCATCACCTAGACTCCACCCTACACTTCTTTTGATGACCTTCCTAGGGTACCACAGTTCTCATCTCTAGACTCACAACCATGGACCCATTAATAGTTTCTGAGCAGGTGAAACTCAGCAGAGTCTTACTCTAGTAGATTAGAAGAAAAAGAACCTGAACCCAAGGGGAAATTGCATGACAAAGGGTTTGAGCATTAGTGATATACTTACTATGAACCCTGAAGACTGCACTCATCTATGACACCTGAGAGTTTTCCCAGATTAAGGGAAAATAATATGAGACGAAAGTCTAGGATTTAACTAAGGGTAGTGCTTTGTACAAATTCCTACAGTTATGTTTTTATGATCTTACTAAGAATTCTCAAAGACAATCATTAGTTTAAGTTTCTAATAATATGTCATCAATTTCCTTTGTTTCTGTGAAGGGACTATACTAAGTTCATTGTGATTACAGGTTCCTTGATTTTTTGTTAAGTATATATACTGCCAGGCTTCAATAAAATAATTACATTCCATGTGATCTATTTTCCCTCGCCTGTTTTATTTCCCCTAGTTTACAGTACGGAGTCCAGCAGGAATGGAGAAGAACAGAAAGGACACATCTGTAGGTCTGTCCCTGTGCAAAATACTAATGGAGTCTCATGGCACCCATCTAGTTAGAGACCTGTGCAGCTATCACTGAGGTTTAACTTTAGAGAATTTAAAATATTTGCTGTATTTCTCCTAAAGAAATGAGCAATTCTATGGTTTCCTGAGAATATCCCATGTGTATGCATAAATTGAGTAGAAACAATTTTCAAATACTCATAAGATGAGATCATCAGGAAAAACTCTTTACATTTCTCTCAGAGAAGACAACATGCTTCATGTATTTAAGGGCTGTACCTAATAAAACACACATTATTCTACGTAGTGGTCACCCCACCATCTGACTCAAGAGGGAGGATTTCTGAGGTGTTTCCCAAACTATGGCTATTCTAAGTAATCCAGGCAGCACCCAGCCAATCCCAAAGAATCTGAATGCAGGTCTTTCTCCACAGACTCCCTGTGTCTCCACCTCCCTCCCTCCTTTGCATGCTCAAAGTCCTTCCAAAGAGCACTTACCACAATGTAGTCGCTAGCCTTTTTTATTTCTTCCTTTGCTGAGGAAGATTTGCCCTGAGCTAACATCTCTGCCAATCTTCCTCTATTTTTCAGAACGTGGGCTGCCAGCACAGCATGGCTGCTAACAGAGTAGTGTAGGTCCATGCCTGGGAATCAAACCTGGGCTGTGGAAACAGAGCATGCTGAACTTAACCACTAGGCCACTGGGGCTGGCCTGGTCTCTCGCCTTTTATAGGACAACATCCTGCTGTATTGAGCTCTCAAAGAACAATGTTTGTGTCTTATTTATCTGGGTCCCCAGGTCTAGCCCAAAGAAGAGCTCAAAACGTGTGTTAAATAAAGTCAAATTGATTGTCAGAACTGATTACAGTAATGAGATAAATGAACATGTGGCTGATTGCTTTCAAAGATGTATCATCCATATACGTAAAAAAATATTATAGGGACAGTTTGATAAATGAAGGTGAAGGAATACAAATTTTTTTCCTATGGTATTTAGCATTATAAAAATGCAGTGAACAAAAAAATCCCAATAAAAACAAAATCATCAATTTATGTTTATTTTCTGTAACAAGTATCAAGATACATGTAAACAAACAAACTTAGAAGGAAAAAATTACTGTATTCTATATTCTGCTCAAAAAATACACTCAACTGGCACACTGGTTGAGACTGGAGGATACTGCCCACTGGAGCAAGTGAACCAGAGGCTGGACGGCCCCCCTCCATTATCCAACTCACTTTTTGCCACTTTGATCTCCATTTAGTTGCTATGCTGAGCCCAAGTAAACTGATTTTAAAATTAGCTTAAGCCAAATAAAATTAGAGAGAAAAACAGCAAAAAACAAAAAACACCCCTCTCTACATAATACATTACAAATATGAATAATATTCCATTATAATACAATTACATCTCTAACAACAGAAATGCAATCCAAGATGACTTGACTTTCTTACGGCAAATAACAATCTATGATTTTATAAAGCTAAGTAAGCTCTTGAGCTTACAGACACTGATGAAATATCCTTACTTGGTTTCTGTTGGAAAGAGCCAACAGGAGACAGTCTACTAAATTTAGACTCTGAGCTGATTTCGTCACTAACCTGTCCTCCTGACAGAGGTCTCTGCGGACAGATGAGAGAAGGCACAGGGGATACCACACTGGGCTGAGATCAACCTATTTAACAGGCCCAGATAGCAGCCAAAAATGGTCACAAAGAATGCTCCGCTGGGCTCAGAGCCTGCACTACAGGTCCTGGGCATGGCCGGCAGCCACACCTTTGTGAATCTTAGAGCGTTATTGTAGAGCCGAGCTCCTTCCAGAGAGCCCCAAGGACCCAGAGTCGTAAACGTGACTAACTACAATGTGATTAGCCAGATTCAGAAGCTTTCCTGGAAGAAGAAAATACCAGAAACTTGATCCAAGACAAAGCTTGAAACAATTTGGAGAAGCACAAATTGAAATTAAATCAAATCCTGATCATTTTTCTGTCTTATTTTTTTAACTAGTCAAGAAAATATGTAAATTTTCCATCTAAAAAATGGTTTAATTTGAATTACATTTTATTAAAATACTAAAATGCTCAGGAAAATAAGGGAGCTGTTAACCGGCACAGTGACAAGTATGGGCAGCGCCCATCTGACGTGCGGATTGTATCTCAGCATCTGTAAGAAGTCTGTCGTTTGCTGGTCCTGTGGGGTGAGGGGAGGAGGAAGGGGAGGCTGCACAGAGAGAAAGGGCCGTCTGCACTCGTCTGTGGAGGTACGGGAGAGTCACGAGTCAGGTGCTGGCAGGGACCCAGCAGTGGAGCCAATCGTTTTGCTGCTTAGATCCCAGCCTAGCAGAGAGGACTGGGAGACAGAAAACGGGCGTCACAAATAAATTTCAAAGGAGATTTGGTAGGTCAGGGCAGAGGATGGGGGTGAGGAGGAAAAGGAAAAGATATGTTTCTTCCACTCCCATCACGCTCCCCTCTCCATTTCATTTTGCTTTTCCTCTCCATATGTCCACTCTTTTCTATCATCTCCAATATGCTATTGCAAGTTGCTAAAGCTGTTTTCAGGGATTTTTAGCACCATGCTGCCCATCCTCCCTCTTGAATACCTTATAAAATATCTAGTAAACTGCTTTGAGCTGGTACTAGAGTAAAAACACATCTCCCCACCCAGCAAAAAGCCCTATAAATTTTACAAAGCAATTAAATTAAAACATAAAATATTTTTAAGCTGAACCAATCTGGTATTCATTTGGTTCAATTCAACATTCCTCCATGGAAAATCCACAAATATTATTCATTTTCAAAACAGATTTAGGTGAGCAGTATACTGTCGAATTATTGTAGGTAGTATTCACATCCAGTGACAGCCTGCTTTCTACTCATATAGCCCGATTTTTCACTTCAAACTTAACGGTCGCTTTTAACAAGAAATGACTGCAAACTAAATATGCATATTATTACAATGACCTAGATTTAATGTTCAAAGAAAATTTTCATAGGGTCACATCCTTTGGATAAAATAACAGGAGATACGAGTGAATCATTTTCATTGTCTTGCATCTTACTGCAATGTATTTCCAAGTGTTATAGCTTCTCACATCCTCTCTCCTTTAAAGAGGTTTTAAAAATGCTTATATGGAAACAAATGAGATGTCACATAAAGGCAGAAAATTCTGAAGAAAAAGGAACACAAATGTGAAGCAGTAAGTCAGCTCCTCAGAACTAAAGAAAAGCTGATGTTAGTTGTAATATTAGCTGGAGGGAGATCTCTCAGCTGGAAATTAAAAAAAAAAAAAAAGGAAATAATGTAAATGGAGGAAAAACAGAGGGAGACTGCCAGGATTGCAGCATATGCCTTTTAGGAAAAAGAGTAAGAAATAATTTTATTGAACAAGGAAAAAAAATCAGTTTAAATATGTGAAGGTATTTTGTGTATGTTTTTCCACAGCATACTACTAAAAGTAAATCACACACAGTAAACTAAAGAAATGAAAATAAAAGCTGAAGAAGAAAATGTCATCTAAGAAATCTGACAACTCATAAGTATGATGAGGACAAATCACTTAGGGTCACAGGTATTTGGTTTTGTTCTTATCCTAACAGTACCGTTCTAGCTGCTTTAAGAGTCTTCTAGAACCAGGAAGGGTATAAATAAATAAATTCATAAATAAATAAATAGAAAGATAGAATCTTCCTGCTAAGTGCCACTGCTGACGACAAGAGAAGAGTTACAGACTACATTATGAAGAGGAGACTGTGCCAGACAGGTTTTGGATATTTTAACTTCACTGTTAGTGGTTTGGAGCGTCTCTAAAAATGCACTGCAAGCTCTTGGCTGGAGCACAAAAGTACTTGAGGTGCTTGTGAAAATGCAGATTTTAGGCTTCACACCCAGAGATACTCATTTAGCAGGTCAAGCATCCTAAGAATCTGCCTTTTTAAGCAGCTCCCCAGGAGATTATAAATGCAGATGGTCCACAGTCTTCGCTTTGAGGAAACTACAGCCTAACATAAACAACCTGTCTCTCTGCTAGGGAGATTACCATGTTTTTTGAGCAAAACAACGTGTTTCAGAGCCTTTAAATCTACTTTATTCTTCTGAACCATCAACCTTGTAAGCTTAGGTAGCCAGTGAGTTATCCTAAGGGAAATTATCTGTTAAGTAGTGATCAAAATTGTTTCTATAGGTGTCATCGAGCCACTCGACAGCAATGTAGCTATAAATGGTTGTAAATGAACACCAATGCTTTAAGACAACTGTAGAGAATCCTTCACAAATGCTCCTTAAAACTTCGTTGCATTTGCCTTATGAGAAATTTGAAAGATGTGCAAAGAAATGATATATATTACTCAAACATTTAGTACTAATGTATCTAAAAATTCTAATCTGCTTCTCATTTCATTTGTTAGCAAAAACTCCCCAAGGAAGCTTCTCATGGGCTCCTTTAGCACTTAAGATCCGTGACTAGGAATTTTCTCTATGACTCTTTCTCATATCTCCTTCCTTTCCGTGTCTCTTTTTTTCTTGATAACAAACCCCATTCCCTTTATCCACATGTACATACAACCACTTTGTGGGTAAGAAATGCATTTTTGTCTTTGTCCCTCAGCAGTTGCAAATTGATTTTCATTCATCCCAAAGTGAGCATTTCTGAGGGAAGAGTATGTGTGAGGCACCGTGGAGAAATGGACCCACAAACAAATACCATATAAAGCGATATGTGCCATCAACAAAGGGATTGCTAACAAAAGAAAACTCTTTGGGTTTTTTTCCCCAGCAAATTAAAAATAAAATATTAGAGAGCTCCAGAATGCACAAAAGAACAGCACCATAAAATTTGATTGAGTGGAGATTTGAAGTTAAGATGCAACAGAGGTTGTTTCTGACAGAAACCGTCAGAGCCATTTCAATAGGCCAACAATATATACCTGTTCTAAGTCAGCTTTTCTCTAGCTTGTACTGCAGGGCAAAGAACTGGTTAGTTAGCATCCATTACTGACCTCACAAATCACAGGACTGATGTTTGAGGTCTGGGCAGAGAAAGGGTGGGTGAAGCAATGTCTAGATTCTGGCCAACTTCTCTTGATCATGGGAGAAGAATGATCATGGAGAAGAGGTACCAATAGTATTGCAAGTTTGTCCTCTAGTCTATTCTGTTCAGATCTAGGCCCAGAGAAGGGAGGGTACATTCACTGGTGGGCACTGGACTCAGGCATATCTGAGAGTCAACACTGGGAGCTTTCCAAATTCTGACTGCACCGCATGAGATCTTTGTACACATGACCCACTGGAAAAGACAGCAGAACGTCTTTCTGCTGCACCACCACCACTGTACCAGCAAAAAGTGATGACTTCTTTGTATATGTTATGTCTCACATTTCAGCAACATTTTCTATTTTCTAATACCATTTTCATGTCAGAGCCAGAGGCAGAGAAGAAATCTCTTACCTATCAGTTCACAAGAAGAAAATATTTTGTTTCCAAAGGAAGACTATTTATTTGATAAATAGTCTAACCTAAGAATGAATTACTTTACCAGTGGCATGTTTTTATAACATGCCCCTAACTTTATCGTTGAAGCCAAATCTTTTATTTTCTAAGTCAGTTTAACTCAATATGCATTCCCTGCAGACCTCAGGAATTTGACAAAGAATAAAACACAGTCCTGTCCTCATGGACTCTTGGCGCCTTCAGGGGAGTAAGAGTTGGACCTTCTAACGTAGCGTGGCAAGCACTATTCTGGAAGGGTGGGCACAGTGTTTCTGGGACCCTGTGGAGGCTAGGAGATCTGGGGAACCCTTCCAAGGGTGGGACAACTGAGTCAGACTTTAAAGTGTGAAGAGATTGTACCACAAATAAAAAGAAGGGGAAAGACATTCTCAGTAAAGGGAGCATTAAAAAAGACTATGGGGTGCAAAAGGGAAGAAGAATTTAGGGAACAAAGCATTTTGTGGGACTGAGGCACAGGGGAGAGAGATGTGGACGATGAAATTGAGGGGACGGGTTGCAGCCAAAACAGAAAGAGCCTTATCAGCCATGTTATAGAGTGAATTTTACCCTGTAGGAAGGACAACATGGAGCCCTGAAGTTTTTAAAGAAGGGTGTAGCAAGACCCAATCTGTGTGTTAGGAAGAGAAGTGTGCTGGCTGGCAGGGGATGACAGAGAAGAGGCTGGAAGACCAGTTAAGGCATTACAGACCTCATATGAGACCATTCATAATATGCATCGGGATGGCTCTATGCTCTTAGATGCTCATAACCATTTTCCCCCATACATTCTTTAGTTATTGCTAAGTTTTCCACCTTTAATTATATATAGATACCATATATATTTTTTCCTACCCAAAATATATCATCTGTGGTTCATAAAACCACGTTCCACATGACAGACAATAAATATTTAGGTAAATACTTAAAAGATAATCTCTTACCTGAACAAAGCTGTTCCACTTTTGTGTAGTTTAAAGATACTATGTCATTAACCCATGCAATGATGTCATGTCTGCTCATAGTCTCTTGGGTTATCGAGGTAGAATACACATTGACTGCCATTCCCCAACTAGAAAAAAACCGAAAAGACAAGGTTATTTACCCACAAGGAAAATATTAACTCAGAAACATAAAAGACTCCCATTCAAGGTCGGGATCCCTGGAAGACCTCCAAGGGATGTAACAGTCCTGCTCTGGCTAAGCCCTTTCTCTATATTCTATATATTTGTTCTAATATGATTAAATTTCATGTATTGTTCACGCAGTACCATGTTACATCTCCCTCAACTGGACTCAGATATTTTTCAAGTTCTGAGATTCCTAATTTCTCACATACTTTAGAGTCTCACTTTCGTCCTTCAATCTATATGTAGAATTAAAAAGTGATCAGGTCTATAACAGCGTACACTAGAGTAATCTTTTAGCTTTATACATCATTTCATAGTACTTTCATTACAACTACTTGCAAACAGTGCCTCCTCTGGTCTGCTCATCTTTGGAGATGTCAATGGCAGCTCCACTGTACCCAGGTGCTCAGGCTAAAAACGCTATCACCATGCTTGCCTCCTCTGTTTCCCTCCCCACCACATCCAACCTACCAGCAAATCCTACTGGCTCTACCTTCAAAGCCTTTTCAGGGGCTGCTACTCTGATCCAAACTTCGTCAGCGCTCACCTGGCGTTTTGCAAGTCTCTTCACTGGTCTCCCAGCTTGCACCCTCACCCCCACCACCTACTCTCAACACAGCAGCCAGAGTGATCCTATTGGCATAAATCAGATCCTTTTTGTCCTTGGCTCAAAACCCTCCAATAGCTGCTCATGTCAGAGTGCAATCCAAAGTTTTCTCCAACTCTGGAAGGTCTTATATATTCTGCTCCTTGACAGCTTCTCCCACTCCCCTCCCCCTCCCCCTGCTCCGTCACAACCAGCCTCCTGGCTGTTTCTCGAATTCTTCAAGTTCACTTCTGCTTCAAGCCCTTTGCATTGCTGTTGCTTCAGCCAGGACTGTTTCCCAGGCAGTTTTGAGGCTCCCTCCCTCATTTCCTTCAGGCTCTACTCAAAGCCACCTCATCAAGGAGGCCCCCTCATCATTGTCTCCTTATTCTTTTTCTCATCATAGACATAGAATATAACCTCCGTGGGGGCAGGTATTTCATCCATTTTATTCTCTGAATATCCCTGGTGCCTACTACAGTTCCAGATACAGACTAGGCTTTCAATAAAAATGCTGAATGCAGGAATGTGGGTTTTTTTTTTTCATATAAGATAAACAAGGCAGTAGGTAAGCTAGGGACATTTTAAAATCAGCTTTAGAGGAAATTCACCTTAGAAACAGGTTACATCTCCATTTCATTGGGGGAAAAAACCCTCACCTGACATTCTCTATCCCTAAAAGCTTTGGACAAAGCCTTGAAAAAAGTATAAAGAAGTACTTGGACAGATAATTGGTAAGACAGGTACTGCCTCACTGCATGAGCCCTCCCTTTATCTGTGAAAATGGGAAAGATGACATTTTTATTTTTTAATTGTTAATATACTCCTCCTGAGCATTTCATGACAGCTACTACTTCCCCACCTTTGTGTTGGGAGTGGCATTTATGGGCCACCAGTAACAGAAAAGATTTGTTTAAAATATTTTGATCTCTATACTATAGTTCAGTGTAATTGGTTTCCATTTTTAATTAGTGAACTTTAGTTTTTAAAGCAGTTTTAGGTTCATAGCAATGTTGAGTGGAAAGTACAGAGTTTTCCCATACCCCTGTCCTTACACACATACAACCTCCCCCACTATCAACATCCCACACATGTTGGTACATTCGTTATAATCAATGAACCCAAATTCATCCATTATCATCACTGAAAGTCCACAGTTTACTTTAGGGTTCACTCTTGGTGTTGTAGATTCTATGAAAGTTTCTTTGTATATGAAAAAGGAGAGAGAACAGAATAACAAATCAGTCCTGTTTACTTCTTGGTTTCAATGATTATCAATAGTTGGCCAATCTTGTTTCATTTATACTCCCGTTAACATTCCCTGCCCCAAATCCACCCTCTGTTCCCCAAGCCAAATTATTTTGAAGTAAATGCCAAGCATTGTATCATTTCACCTGTCAGTATTTCAGTATGTGCCTCTATAAGACAAGGACATTTAAAAAACAAAAACAAAACCCAAACCGCAACAGAATTATCACACTTAAACATAATTTCTGAATATCACCAAACATGCGTTAAAATGTCTTACCATTTTGTCTCAGTTTGTTTAAATCTGGATTCAAATAAGGTTCATACATTGTGATTCTCTGATATGTACTTTAAGTTTCTTCTCCATTTTTAGTGTTTCCCTTGCAATTTTTTTATTTTCTTATTTTTTATTGTTGTTGACGGAATTGTGTTGTTTGTCTCACAAAGTTTCCACAATCTGGATTTTGCTCACTGCATCCCATTAGTGTGGTTTAACACATTCCTCTGTCCCTGGTATTCCTATAAACTGGTAATTCGAACTAGAGGCTTGATCTGATTCAAGCTCTAATTGGGGGAGGGGGGCAAGCCTACCTCATGCAGTGTGTGAACTTCCGTTGGGGGCACATAATGTCTGACTCCTTTGGGATATTGTTAGCCATTGATGGTATTTGCCTAGAGCCAACAATTCTTTAGAGACTTCAAAATGATATTCTATTATTCATTCTTGATTTATTAGCTGGAATAATTCTACAAAGAGAAATTTCCCCTCTGGGCTACCAATCATATAATAAAGGCAGGATGGATGCCTGATTCTTTCTCTTTACTCACCAGTTTTCAAAATAATGAGGTAGTTCTCTAATATTCTCCAAACATGACCAATGACATCTCTGTTTTTGAAATATAATTATAAACTCATGGATTTAAATATATTTGACATGTTTCAATTTACCACAGTTTATATCTTTATTGACATAAGCTTGAAAGAGCTTATTCAAGCTGGTTTATGAGTTCTTTTGACCGGGACCTTGTAGTCCTTGATAATTTCCTTGCTTTCTGGCATGATAAAATGTTTCATGTTCAACTTGTACATTTCCTGCCTTAGACCTAAACCAGTCATTTCTGCAATGGTTCCTTATTCCTTTAGTCTCAAATGGTATTTAGAGATAAATAGGTAATATCTTTAAGCATGACTATATAGGACAGAAAAATCTCGTTTTACACAAAAATCCATATATTCATGAAATTGTTGTGTTTGTAGTTCTTATTAACTCTAAAGCAATAAAAGTCTGCTATTTAAAGTGCCAAATATTTTATTTATTTATAAATAAATATAAAAATAAATACCCATACATCCCCAGAAGCACCTTCATCTCTAAATTCTCTCCCCCTAAAGATCTGAAAAGAAACTCATGGCACTGACATGTCAGATATGACTACAGTTACTACTTTTCTACAACGTTATTAAATGCTTTTGATTTTTGGGGGGTTAGTAACTTCCACTGTTTTCTTTAGTCTATTATTTATTAAATAAAACCATTTGCTTTTAATACCTAATCAGTTCTGTATCAACTATGTAAATTACATAAACCTTTAGTAAAGCTAACTCAAAATTTAAAATATTTTGGACTGTTTCATGTAATTTTCACATACTGGCATAACTTTTGGCAGTTCATGTACTTTTCTAATGCTCTCTTCCTCAGGCAATACTGAAAAGCTTTTGCTCTACCAAGCAATGTATTGATGGAAGATGAGGCAATGAGGCCCAGAATTGTGCTAGATGGCATCAAGACAACTTGGGATGAAATTTCTGCTCCAGATGATTTAAAAACAAAACTAAACACAATGCAGGAAGGAGACAATCAGATCAGTGTTTTAGAAAGATAATCCATACACAAGTAAGTGAGTAAAGATGGCCTGTGGTCGCAGAACAGAAAGAAATGTATAACAAAAGGACACGTAGAAGAGTTATGACAGCTTTTAAAAAATCCATAAGAACAAGGAAGCAAGTAATTTGCTGCAAGTTCTGCCACTGAATCACACTGTCTGGGTCTTTATTGATAATGTGCAGGTAAGGACAACAGTCCTTCCATATCTAAACAGACATTCTGCTCACAAAGGCAAGTAAAGCACTGTCTGCCTTCAAGGAGCTCATTAGGATGACCCGGTAAACAATGAAATAGCACCTGATTTTTGTTTTAGAAAAACTCCAGTTAATTAGTTACTGGACCCACCACTCTAACCTCTACCACATCTCCTCTCTAACCAACACAGCTGTAGCCCCCAGAAACCCTGAAGTAAGAGCAACAACGTGTTAAGGGACCTGAGGGAAAATTAGGATAGGGAAGAGACCAAAAGTCAGCAAGAATCAATGAAGATTAGGAAGATTTTCCTACATTTTCTAAAATAAAACAATGACAACACATTAAACGAATTTCCATTCCTACTTCAAATTAAAGCTATGGGATCACTACAGTTAATTTCTATTTCCCACTCATGCTGATCAGAATATTCTTATAATCTATCTTCCTCCAAATTTCACCAAGAAACTTCTAAATTCATTTCAATTTGTGATTGTCTCTTGCTCCCTCTATTAGTTTCCCATCCAAATCCGGGATGCCTTCTGCTTTTAGTGGGGGTGTCCTCTGGGTCCAGATTCCTTCTCCGCAGAAGGCGAAGTGCTCTTCCTAGCCTCGAGTGAGTCAGGTGGCAGCCAACGAAGAAAGACAATTCTATTGCTGCTCTGCCAGCCACGCTTTTCTCTTCCTAATTCCTTCAGCTCCCACTTTTCCTATAGGTACAACTTCAATATCTTCAAGCCTAAATCATCCAGGTGACTAAACAGTTCAGAGGAGAAAATTTATATTTTTCCAAATGTTAAACTCAGGGCTGATGAGAGAGTATGGTATAGTCTTAGCTCTTCTGCGGCCACACTCTAAAATCCTAAGATTTCATTCTAATTTCTTGGGGTCAATCTATATGACGATATAAAGATAAAGTACCTGCCCCTGCTCATTCTTCAGAAATGCTGGGTGGATAACACAAGGAATTCTTCTACCATTTTAGAGTTAAAGTGATTCCATGCTCTGATTTTGATCCTTGAAAGACTCCTGCGAGGGAAGCAGGGCAGGAATCACATTCTTCCCTGACAAATGTGGATTCCTAGTCCTTTTGAAGGAAGGAATTAAAACAACTCAAAATTTTTAATTTTTTAATTTACTGAATAGTTTCCAAAGACTCAGTTAAGAAAAATAAACGACTAAGAAAGAGAAACTAAAATCAAATGCTACAGAAGAAAGAGCCAGTGCATCGCGCAGGGTTTATCTCCTGTGTGGATCTTCGGCATGCCTTTAACAGGCAAACAACAGTTTATTCTTAGATGACCTGCCATCTGGTCTCTGAGACATAAGCATTTCTCTCTGTGCCATCCTTGCAAACACAGAATCAAAGCACCTCTCCTCTAACTTGTGGCTTTCCGTCAGAATTTTAACCAGATCGCTACGTGTTTAAAACCTGGTGAGTACAACAACACTGAAAGTAGCAGATAAGGGACAATTCCTTAGCGCTTCTGTCTCTGGGTCCCCATATTTTGATATGGCATTAAAATTTTCATCTAAGATGAATTTGCATTCATTGCTCCTACTTGAAAATAAACCAATAATCACCATATATCTATACACTGTTTCCATGAATGTTTGAATGTCTTTCTAGGAAGCTGGCATTATATATTTTTTGCAAAAAGGTGAAAGGAAAACACATAGAAAAAACAAAAATCCCTTCCTACCTCCAAGAAGCCAAGCCACGATTCTGGCTTGTCCATGGATAGTGACCACTGACACACGTGACTTCAGGAAAAGGACAGCCTCAGGCTGAAGGCCAGTGTGTTGGTTTTGCCCCATTTTATGCTGTATTCAACCTTTGGTGGTGGTGAGGGGTGAGGTACGGCAAGTCCATACTCTGCAGCAGCTATTCAGCCACACGAATTAGAAAATACATTTCTGCTTACTGAATCAAAAGGAATTTTCTGTGACTAAGGGAGACCTGAGTTGCCTACTGAGCAAAGGCTGGATAAAGACTTGGCAAGCCCCAAGCTGTGGAAACCAAAATATGAATTCTACCACCTTACCAGTCATGGGCCCCCAAATCAATTACGAAATATTCTAAAATTTTGTCCAAGAACAAATTTAGCAAGGTTTGTGAATTATTCCAGAGAAGAGTCTCTTCAAAATTTGGCAAGTATATAAAGTGTCATAGCTAGCATTGTGTGGCCTTTAACTGAAATTATTTCTTATGCAATTCATTTCATCTCTCTGCCCCACCCTAACCATTACAAATAGATCACATCCATACTTGTGTTCCTGTCGGAGGGGAAAAGGGCCTATTTTCCCTCATTTCCTCCCTCCATACTTTGATCACTTCTTTCGGAGAAAAATGCAGTGTTTTTTCCAGCAAGCTCACAATAGGCCAGGTGTCCGAAGATCCTGGCTCTGGTGTTATAAGGAGAGGGGTTTGAGAAATTAATTTTGGAAATGAGGCATGTGGAACCTATTTTGATTTTGATTTTTTTTCACAGCTAACGTCTGAGTGTGCCAGGCTTCCCAAGTTTAGACATGACCATCTGCAGAAGAACAGCCCTCCGTAACTGGTTGACTACTGTCTGCTGCTCTGTTAGGAGGCCCCATTTGGCTTAGATTTACCCCAAACCCATTCTGAAGCTGAACCTTTAAACGCCCTTCCTGACTTAAGTTACCTTCTTTATATCACTCCCTAAAGGAATCCATATACAACTGGAAACTTCACGTTCGACACAAAATGTTCTGAAAATTCAGTCCACCCCAAGCTAATATACTCCGTTCACATATTTTGCACCAACCGACAACTATACTCATATTTGTGACTGTCTTTCTTCTCTCTTGTAACTATCTCTATTTTCTACATGTTCCCCCATCATGAGAGAAGCAACCCACCTCTACTAGTCTAAGACAAATGCACGCAATCCACCCTTTACACAGTTTCACATAAACGAAAAAGAACAGACTGGAAAAGAGGTACAAAAAATAATGGTATGTTTCCTTCACGTGAGAAACCTATTTCTTTGAGCTCGGGCACAGAAGGATTCTGAAGCCCTTATAACAATCTATAACCCAAGTGGTTTCCTAAGTAATATTTAAAGATATCAATGCTTCATAGGAAGCCATGCCCCGCTGCCCAGGTGTTAGGGTTCCTTTCCAAGAGTCTCAGAAGTTGTCGTTTGCACCACTTCTCCATATACGCCAAGGTGGGAGCAGCACCCGGGAGCCAGAAGAGCACCTTTCTTTACCAATCATTGGACTTACACTGGCTCCAGGTCAAGGCCTCAACTCTAACTCCCATCTCCTAGGGTGTTCTTTGGTTCAAGATTTTAGGATTGTCAAGGTTGGCCTGCTCCTACATACCAGGTAAAGGGAGATGCGTTATTTCAAACACACTCATAAACATGGCTTTTTACTCAAAGAGTTTTTATCATTCTAACAGAAATAACCATTTTGCAAACACTAAGTACCCACAATAATATTATGATGAGTTTAAAAAGAAATTTAGCCAATCACTGATATAATGAACACTTCCTTCTCTTACAAGTGGCATTTTTCTAAAATAACCTGTACATATTTTGAAAAGAAAAGTGTACATTTATTCCCACAGATTAACTATTGAGCCAGAGAAAGAAACCCCAAGAGTTGTTCTCCGAGACCACTTCCGCATTAGAATCTACGTTGTCAACCTGAGGGGGGAGGAGAGCTTCAGTCCCACAGCACACATTCACCTAACTGTGCACGTTTTCCTCTCAAAAGCCTTGTAACAACACAAACAGATTCTGCCCGAGTGCCTCCTTCCTGGCTCCCTAACAAAAGGCTGATGTGAACTCTCCCGTGGCTGTCCCTAATAATGAACTGGGCATCAGCAGGGAGTGACGCGTAAATGTGTCCCCTGAACCAGAAACTTCCCCCCTTTTCAGCTATGCATAATTCATTCTCTAGATTCAGGACCACAAGGGGTAGGATTTAAACATTTCACCAAGGACAGAATACCTCCAGATAATTCTCAATTCATCACTTTCTCTTTCTTTGTGACCTGAAACGTGGGGGCAGGGAGATGGTATTTGTTTGAGGAGGGAGACCACGATGGAGAGATGCGGGAGTCAGAGAGGGTATCTTTGCAAGACAAACCTTGACAAGATGAAATCTCCCTGGAGAGACATTATAGAAACTGGACTGAGTTTCATTTACAATTGGGTATTAAAGCTTCCACTTAACTTGTGGAATAATTGATGCATGGATTCTAGGGCTGGGATGGGAATTTAAGAGGTCATTTATTGTCTTCAGGTAATAATAACACACTTAAGCCACCGTGGACAGATGTGCATCTGTTTTATTTTTACAGAGCTCTATGACTTGGTTATAGGATCAGACAGACAATGCAAGACTAACTCCTCCAGGCACAGACCCTCCCCGGAGAGCTGCCATGAGCCAGCAGAAGGGCCTCCTAGGGCAGCAGAGGTCTGAGTACTGACTTCAGACAAGGACGGTGGAGAAACATCAGGACCTGCCCACAATTACAAAATACATATATTTTACTAAACACAGATATTGAAATATACTCTTTTTTCTCAAAATTAGGCTATTCACAATTCAGAAGTGGTCAAGAAAACCAGTGTAAAGAATTTTAAGGCTAAGCTGCTTGGAGAAACATTGGATGAGGCATGAGTTTTATCGAGGGCAGAGTTGCCTGCTCTTTACTCCAAGCTTTTCTAGGCAGCCTACCACTGCAATTATTAACATGCCCTTCATTATCATCCACTGCTTGATGATAATGCCTTCAATGTGGGCACAAAGTTCCACTTCATCTGACAATCAGAAGTTCTAACTCCAGGTAATAACAGCCCCATGCCAGAGAGAAGGAACAGGAAACAAGACTCTTTTCTCAGGGTGCCCATCTCTTTCTAACATTAATTGTTGCTTCTTAAAACCAAGAGATCAAGCTCTTTCTTGCCATACCACCAAGTATTCCAGGCACTATTTTTACAAAACAGAATATAATTAAAACACAGATTTCTCCAAGTGCCTGCAAAAGGAGATTTCACAACTAGCCTTGAAAATCTAGCTTCATTCTAATTGCCTCGTCATTGTCTGTGTTAACCCCGTCAGATACTACTTGGTAGGTGGCTCCTTAGCTTCACTACCCACAATACTGTAAGGAAACGGAACAGAAATGCAACTTTCAAAACAGCATACATAGGTTTTGGGTTTTTTTCAACTCAGAATTAACAAGTCAGTAACTATGGCCCTGAAATGACTTGGAAACTTGGCTCTCATCCAAGGAATGAAGAAATTTTGGAATTCTAAAAAAGTTCTTTGTGGCATTCATAATGTTCACTGATATGAATGAAACTCAGCTACAGAAAATGAAAGAGTAAAAGGCTAAGGTCTCACTCACAATCACACACACACACACACACACACACACACGGCATACGTTTCTTCATATGGTCAGAAATGCAGCTGATTATATTTGCCTAAATGTCCATCTGTTTCAATCAGTGGGTGGCTTGGTCCAT